AGGCTGTCTTTTCTCCAGCACATATTTTGGGCACCTTTGTGAAAAATGAGATGGCTGTAGTTGCATGCATTAGTGTCAGAGTCTTCTATTCCATTGGTCTTCATGACTGTTTTTGTGCCAGTACCATGCTGTTTTCAGTACTATGACTCTGTAGTGTAGTTTGAAGTCAGATATTGTGATACTTCCAGCATTGCTGTTTTGGCTCAGGACTGATATGGGTTTTGAAGATCTTTTGTCCTTCCATTGAACTTTAAAATTGGCTTTTCAATCTTGGTGAAGAATGTCATTGGAATTTTGGTAGGGATTGCTTTGAACATACAGATTGTAGCATGTTATCTTAACCCTTATATTTAATGGGTTTTAACCAATTTGAGAAATATAAGTAGGTAGCTGAAATTTAATATATGTATTATTACACAGATTGCAGTGTTCTGTAGTAAAACATGGATGGTGAGTAAGCTTTTGACTTAGGCAGAAATTCAGATTTGCTCCTTAAGTGGACCAATCAGTCTGACACCTTCAGTCTTCTTCAGATCAACAATCTAGAAGTAAGCCCTGCATACTAAACTGTCAAGAGCAGGGTTAGCATTGCACTGGAGCCCCTCCAAGTCTTAGAAAGATGTCTTCTTTATGCTGGGGATAGAATGAGAGAGAAGGTGGAGTGCCCTAAAATATTCTCGAGTGCTGGTAATTGCCATCAGGATTGGAATGGAAACTTGAAGGGTGGAAGAACAAGAACTCTTTCCAGAATTTGCCAGCTTTTTCTTCTAGTATCTTACAGTATTGTAACACTGTCATAAATAATGTAAGTTTATTTTAGGTGACATGCTGATAGGCATTTTAAAATTGTTAGTTATTCTAATCTGTATTCAGAAAAATATGCAGCTAAAACACTTTAACACATTATGCAACATGAACAAAGGATTAAGCCAGAGAGTTCATAGGAAACACTAGGTATTGAAAGAAAAATACCATATCAGTATTTATATAGGTGATGTGTAGACACAGAAAAATCATGAAGGCACCATACATGATGGATTATTGAGAAACAATGTTGTAACCCACTGGACTATACAAGCAATTCAGAAGTAAGCCATGGTGGCTATTTTTCCCAGCAGGGAAATTTGCATACTCACAGCACAATTTGTGTTCTCAATCTTCTAAAGCCTGCTTCTTTGTTAGTAGGTCTCTCTGGGACTGCTGGGGGATATTTCACTTTTTTACCCACAGAAGACTATCCATTGTGTCGGTCAGGACTCCACACAGAACTCTAATACATTTCCTATTCTATTATTAGTTGTGTTGCCTCTATGTTGCCTGAAATAGCTAACTAGATTCTATGAAATAAATTTAAAGCCTGGAAAAATAACAAAAGTGTTCCAAATTTGAATAATATGAAACTCTGTTAATTTTTCAATTTCTCCCAAACTGAATCCTGTTGCAAATGAAAAGATCCAAATTCCTTCAATCCCAAGTTTATATAATTGGCTGTGTCCCAGCCAGAAGTTCTTACTCATCTGCTGAGATTCCTATAAATGCATCTGTATCCTGGGCTATCTTTCAAAGAGAGAGTTATGATATCTTTGGTCTCTTCAAAATTAAGTAATTCAATTCCCTAATTACTTAGGCTTTACAAGGATCACAGGCATAGAATAAGCTTCATCCCTATTACTGAAATTATCACAAGGAAAATTACAGTCATTCCCAGAATTAAGTAAATGGTGTGATCTTGGTTGACATGGCAGTTGCCAGCCAAAGAGCCTTTGAATTAATTTAGTGAGACCTGTGTTGTAGACAGAAGGATCTGGGCATGGCTGGCTGTGTCAAATCAGTCAGCTGCACCACTGTCAAGAGTCCACAGCCTATGATGTACATTAACTAAGCAGAAAGTACCCATTGACAATTGTGCTCTCCTGTGTGGGTGTGTCTTTGTATGTTGTGTCTGTGTGTTGTTTGTTATGGTATTTATGATAAAGCTTCTGGGAAAGTCCATATTTATTCCTAGCTTTCTTAATGGATGACATTTGAGGAACTGTTCCTTCTTAAAAATTAGATGTTCTGATTTCTTTATTTGCTTGTGTCTAATAAAATGTCATTAGCATTTCAATGCAAGATTGTGGTTTGTCTAGAGAAAATTTCTACCTTCAAATGCATCCAGGTATGTTCTTTCTAGGAATCAGAGGGAAATGTACCCTTTATGAGGATAACATGAGGAATAGAGTAATGATTTACTCTCTACTTCTTCAGCACTGTCTTAAAGAGTGAGATCTTACTTATTCTGATAACAGTAGTTTTCAAAAATTAACAAAAAAACACATTTAAAGAAACACAGAGAAGGCCAGTGAATTAAGATTTACCCTTGTCAAGAAATAACAGATCCAAAAGTTTAGCAAATCTTCAAAGACATTCTAGATATCGTGGTTAAAATAGTCAAAAGTTAATGTTTCTAAAGGTTGGGACATTAAAAAGGTAGAATACCAGCACAAACAATAAAAGACCCCAGAAAATGTGAACTTCAGAGCAGAAACTTACTCTGTTGTCCTCTTTTATTCCTTCCTGTTCCAGTAGAATATGATATTGACCATAGTGGAAGTGACTGCAGCTGAGGAAGGAAAGAAAGAGTGCTAAGAGCTGCAGCTGCACAAACTTTAGGATCTGAGGTTTTTCTCTCTCTTTTTTCTTCTTTCTGGGATTAAACTAAAATATGCACAAGTTTGAAAAATCAGTACCAAGTGATACCAAATGAAAAATAAATTCTCCACAAGAGTTCCCTAGTCCCCATTTCTAATCTAGCTCTCTATTATAAAACTGTTCTGTTGGTGGTCTTCACATACCTTTAAGCATATGTTAATACTTTCATTTCCTATTTTAAATTTTAGGGAGTGTATTGGACAGTTTTGTGTTGCTATCACAGAATACCAGAGACTAAGTAATTTATATACAAGAACATTTTTACCAACATGATCTGCCACATCTCTGTGCTTTCATAACACTCATAACCCATTTTTTAACATTAGTTTTAGTACTTATTAGTGATATTCTCTGTAGTAGTTATTATCTTCCATGTTTTCTTTCTATGTTGACTTATAAATTGAAACAGCATTTAAAGTGTTCCAATAATTAACTTACCCCTTTTTGATGAGCCAAATAGCATGAGTGTACATATTGAGGAAAAAATGTAATCTTATCCCATTATAACTAAAAAAGAATGTTCTAAATGTTGAAGTCAAATGTAATTTCTTAAACACAATCTTTAAGCCCTTCTATTAAACTATTCATTCAGACAATGATATCCTTTATTTCTATGAAATTAAACATAGAACACTGAACATCTTTGGTTGTTCTTGATTCAGAGCCCACCTGACCTTTAGCTTCTTGACTCTGAAGATGTTGATTTTTTAAAAAACAATTTTTCTTCTATTATCTTAATTAGCCCATTTCTTCATGAGTTAACTGTTACCTGTTCCATTTGGATCTTCTCACTTTTGCTGTTGGTTTCTTTAAATTTTATGAGTCTTTTTTCAACTGCATGAAAGATGGAAAAAGTTGACTGATAGTGGTAGCATAATTTTTCTGTGGTATTAGAACTCTCCCTGTAATGAAATGTATTTGTATAATTATTTTGACTTAAATTTTTTTTTGAAATTATTGATCTCATTTTTGTGCACATCCTCAAATTTTTGTGTTCCATGCTACACTCACTCCTTTCACTATAGTACCTCCCTTGGACCAAAGGCCTGAAAGATTACTTTCTATTTGTGATCAGCAGAGGGCAGCAAAGGGCAATGGAGCAAGTGTTTGCTGTCAGACTCTGGGAATCTTTAACTTTGTAGGGGGAAAAACAGACACAGCTAGTGGAAAGTAGGGGCTCCAGAGTTCTAGAACCAGTAGGTCACAATGGTGAATGAGCTTAACTACTGCAGTAGCCTCAGATTTCAGATAGTTATTCATAGTGCTCTACCAAGTGCACTATGGGTTGTGTTCAGAGTCTAGAATTGGAGGAAAATGGATATTCAGATCAAATACAAAGATTTTTACTCAATGCTTCACTGAGCCAGGTATTCTTTTACTATACTACTTTTGAGTTTGATCATTAAAACAATATTGTGGTCCCAGAAATGATTCTGTCTTGCTTTCTCTTAAATATGTGAACTAATTCTTGCCTTCAGCACTGGTTTCATGAAAAACTACTAATGTTTATGCTATTTAGTACTGTTGAACTCAACACCATAGGCTTTGTATTATCAGAAAAGATATGTTCTTGGCATCATGGAAGGTAATTTTGTAAATGTTGATGAAGATAACTTCCCTAGTTATGAGTAGCATTTTATGTTGTGTTCAGTCTAGTTGGTTTTAGCTATTATGACCACAGAGCACTATTGGAAAGCCATCATAGCTCAACCAAGAGTCTAAGCACTTCAATATGTCTTGAAAGTTTTTGATATTTCCAGTATTATTTAGAAACTTTTCACCCATAATTTGAATATTGATATATATAAGATGGAAATCAATTTTCCAGAATTATCAGTTACCTCAGTTTTCATGTTAATGTTACACCAAATTGAAACTACTTCTTCACAGGTCTTCTATTCCAAAAAATTGTTCTTGTCATGTTTACCAATGACTTTCACGTTGATAAAACCAATGTCCAATTGTCAGTTTATATCCATCTTGGCCTTACTATAGCATTTGTCATGGCTGGTTGTTCCTATCATTTAATACTCTCAGAATAGGCAATCCCCAAAGCTCTGTTTGTGAATCTGTCCTCCATCCACATTCCTAAGGGACATCATCTCTTCTGTTAGCAATTAAAATCATTACTCAATGACTCCTGGATTTCAGTGATGGAGTCCTTATTTGTGAAATGAGACTATCATTTTTAGCATGGTGTCCCCTTTCAAATTTTCCATAAACCTCTATACCATATTTTACCATTGACTAACTGTTCTGTGGTGTTTGATGTATATCACTAAGACATTTCTATTCAAATGATAATACAGGATGAAAAACCCATGTCTTCCATGGCCACCTATCAAAACCTGCTCATCCATGGCCCTGTGGAACTAGGAAATGGCTGGCATAGGAAGAAGAGGCATCTGTTCCTATTCAGAGATTATTTACTTATATCGAACACCAGGTACATATACACTACATCCTCTCCTGATTATTACAATATGCATTTTCAATAATGTGGATTTTCACTAATAATTTATTACTATTATAATTATAAGTACTTATAATTAATTACTATTTGACAAGGAATCATAAAGTTTTTTTCCATGTTGTTTGTAAATGTTTTGATTCCTCCTCTATTTCACAAGCATTTGTGGAGATCCTGTTCTGTGCCCCTATATAGGATACAGTCAAGAATCAAGAGAATCTGGAATTGTGCTTCACATCTGTAATCCTAGCACTCAGGAGGTTGAGTCAGGAGTATCACAAGCTTCAACAGGAGTATACAACCTTGGCCACACAGTGAAGTCCTGTCTCAAAAAAAATTAAGAAAATCAATCACAAATATGACAGGCAGTTATCTGTGCTTATATATAGATTTTTTAAAAAGGGGGGAAAGTCAGATTATGATTTCTAATAAGAAGACATAGTTTGATATGTGGAGAAGATTGGAAAGTGTTAGAGAGGTTCATCCAAGTGATATTCTGTACTGATAACATTTCAACTTGGCCTAGGAGGTAAAAATCAGTGACCATCCCAACACTAGACAGAGGTAGCAGCAGGGCTGCGGTGAGTGCAGCTTGGTTCTTTAGAGGGAAGGGTTTAGTGAAGTCTGATATGGTGTGATATGATCCTAATACATGGGGGCATGATGTCAGAGAGGAGACTTAAGAATTGTTAGGAATCCGTTCATATATGGTCTCCACAGGTCAATCTTAAGGGCTTGGGATATTATTTCAAAGGACAGTTAACTAGAGGATTTCTCAAAAATATTAAGTTTTACTGTATTGCTCTCACTATTTTTTTTAAACAGTGGAAAGGAGGTCAGGCAGCATTGGAAGTAAGGCAAGCAGTTAGGAGAGGCAATATTCCTGATCACCATGGGGGAACAGTCCTGATCATCTATCTTGGGGGTGACAGTGGAAATAAAAGATGCAAAAGACAGGCTTACTTGGCACACTTTTCTCTCAACCTTGAACACAAATACCCAGCCTAAAGCATGGTGATTACTTGGTTGACTGCAGGGAGATGAAACAAATTGACTAACCTGGGTATCTCTTTATCTTTCCCTCTCTGTTTTCATTATTTATCAAATATCATGAAAAACAAAAGAAATCTCATCCAGAAGCTTTTTTAGTCACTTGAGAAACCAATGTTTTCCACTGTTGTCCTCCTCTTACCTTTTAGCTATGCCATGTCATGGTAAGACATGCAAGATGATATATGAACTTTGCAAAATTCTGTATTTCATCTAAGTAACAATGATAGGTATAATTCATCAGGAGCATATTTCCTGTGATGTATTATGTTAAGCACCTTATGTATCACATCTTGTCCACCCCTCACTTCTCCCCTATGACTGACATAAGATTAATTTCATTGTTTGACAGAGTGACTTGATAATCAGAGGTCTATTGGCTTACCCCAGGTCACTGCACAGCAGTCACTGGATTCCACATTTAACACTAGATGTGTTTATCTCAAAGCACAGGCTTTTCTTTCTTTCCTTTTGGGTCTAATCAAAGATTCCACAATCATTTTGATTCTGTCTCACAACCAAAATCAAACTTTCATTAGTGACAAATAAAAAACATAACTTCTGTATACTTGGTATTCAGTGAAAAATGGAGCAGAATCCTTAGTTAACAGAGACATGAAAAAGAAATCAATCCATCCAAAGTGTAGAGAAAAATATAAACATAATATGGGGTGGCCAGGATGAGGGAAATTGCCCAGAGATATTGTGGTAGAGTCTGTAATGTTATAAAAAGGACAGAGAGAAAGACCACGTAGGCCCTGGCATGAGGTTCCTGGTAAGTTCCCTGACAAAGCCTGATAGAGGATGTCTTGAATTTGTTAGGCTACTTGCATTCTTTTATTACCAAGGTGAATTTACTGGAAGGTTATCAAAACCATATGAGGAGCATCACTTATGGCGCATGTAACTTTCCCAAAGATCCAATGCAGATGTTAGAAATCCAGGTTTTATTCATTTTTAAATTGTTGTACTTGGGGTACATTGTGACATTTACAAAAGTTATTATAATATAACATAGCTCATTTCATCCTCTCAATCATTCTCCTTTTTCCTTTTTCCCCCATTCTTGGAATGCTTTCAACAAGTCTCATTTTTCCATTTACAAACATGCGTACATTATATTTCCACCACATTCACCCTCCTACACTTTCCTTATATTCTCCCCTCTCCCACTATTACCATCCCCCAAGGGAGGACCTGCTTTGCCTTCCTGTTCTCTGTTTTGAAAACAAGAGACATACAGAGTGTTTCTTTGTAAAATTTCCCTGTGTATATGTATATAACTTAAATGGATTCATCCCCTCTATTTTTCTTCTTTCTTCCTTAATCCCTTTCTTACGGAGATTAAAACAGGTTTAAAAGTTCTATATTCATTCTTGCATGGGAAGTACATTAACCATAGTCACCTGAACTTTCTTTTTTTACCCTCCCTCTCTTGTATGTGACCCTCCATTATCATAACCTCTTTTTCATAATATTGCTTGTATTTGTGTTTGGGATGTATTCCACATATGAGAGAAAACGTGGCCTTTGGCTTTCTGAATCTGGCAAACTTTGCTTAAGAAGTTCCATCCATTTCCTTGCTAACAACAAAATTTCATTCTTCTTTATGGCTGAATAAAATCCTAGTGTATATAAATACTACATTTTCTTTCTTTTTTAAAATTCATTTACTCATATGTGCATACATTGCTGGGACCATTTCTCCCCCTTGCCCCCTTCTCCTCCCTCTCCCCTCATCCCCCTCACTTCCAGACAGAACCAGTTCTGCCTTTTTCTCCAATTTTGTTGAAGTATAAATACTACATTTTCTTAATTCATTCATCAGTGGTGGGGCATCTTTGGCTGTTCATTCACAGCTTTCATAAACTTTCCCCTTCTCTGCAACATTTTGATTTCCTTATTTCTTGGATGACCCACTGATCATGGAGCATGTTTTGTTCAGTTTTTAGGTGTTTGAGTATTTTCTGCTGTTTCTTTTTTTTTTAAGTTCTACTTTTATTGCATTGTGGTCAGACAGTATGCAGGGTGTTACTTCAATTTTCTCCTATTTGTTAAGTCTTGCTTTGTGACCTAAAATATTATCTATTTTGGAGAAAGTTTCATGGGCTGTTGAGAAGAATGTATATTGTGGTGTTACAGGATGGAATCCAGGTTTCAGATAAGAGAACAGGGGCTGGGAAAGTCTCAGTAATTTGTCCAAATTCAAGTCCTGGGAAATTCTAGGGAGAGACTCAAATCCAGGTCAGCTCTATCCACATGCCAATCCACTTTTTTTTGTTGTACTAAGGTTTGCACTTAGGGTCTACACTTTGAGCCACTCCACCAGCCCTTTTGTGTGATGGGTTTTTTTGGGACAGAGTCTTGTGACCTATTTGCCCAGGCTGGCTTCAAACTGTGATTCTCCCAGTCTCTGTCTCCTGAGTAGCTAGGATTGCAAGCATTAGCCACCAGTGCCCAGCAGCAGTTTACTTTATCTGTGCTCAGCCTGAGAAGAGTGATAATCTACCATAATGCTCATTCTCGAATTCTTAGGACCTTGCAGAACACTTGCATCCTATTTTTATTTTATTTTATTTATTTATTTATTTTTTCTTTTATTATTCATATGTGCATACAAGGCTTGGTTCATTTCTCCCCCCTGCCCCCACCCCCTCCCTTACCACCCACTCTGCCCCCTCCCTCTCCCCCCCCTCAATACCCAGCATTGCATCCTATTTTTAAAGGAAACATGTTTTCCACCACTTCTGTTTCTTAACTTTTGTAATTATGCAAATATTTAGGGAGAGTAGACCTTTGGTTTCTTACCAGAAGCCATTTATTGTCCTGGATACTGCTGATCCCTTAATGGGTTTTACAAAACTTAGTGTTCTCTAAAACCTTTTCATATAAAGAAAATGTTTCCTTTTATGTTAGAAAATTGCATCTGTTCTAGAGCTGAATTTTTGTTTTGATTTGTCCATTATTCTAAAAGATGTGCAATATTTTTTCAATTTTCATATACTACTTTTGAGGTAGTCCTCTACATCCACTGAAAGGATTTGTGTAATATTCTAAAATTTATATATATATATATATATTTAATGTGTATATATAAATAAATTAAGTAATGTCCTTGTTTCAGAGACTCAGTTCTTAAAAGATTTTATGCCAGGCACTTCTGCCTCACACCTTAATCAGCTATTTGGGAAGCTGAGTTTGTGAGAATCACAGTTTGATGCCATCCCAGGCAAAAAGTTTTTAAGATTCCATGTCCAACAATACAGTGTGTGCAGAGTTGCATACCTTTCATGCTTTCAGCTGTGGCCAGAAGCATAAAAGGATGGTAGTCCAGACTTGCCTGGCTACAAAATGAGAGCCTTCCAAAAATAACCAGAGCAAAGTGGGCTTGATGTGATGAACAGGGGACAGAACAACTGCTTAGCAATTGTGAAGCCTTGAGTTCAGACCCTACTACCACCAAACAAGTAAAGAATATTTTATATACTCTCTATGTCCATTTGGAATTTTAAAAACTATAAGTGACTTTGTGCATTTGAAAAAAGTTCAAAATCACAAGGCCCTTGAAATACAGAAAACAGAATTCTTTTTGAGTAGGTAACTGTCAGCATTGAATGCAGATACCTTTTGCAAGAGTTTATAGATTTTAGGAAAAGAGACATCATTATCATTTGGGCATAATCATGATCACAAGTAGTATAATAAATTTTTTTGAGAAAAACATCTACTAACCTCCTGCAGTAACAAATGTTTTCTTTTCCATTACATGTCCCTCTTAGAGAAAGCGTGTGTTGTGCCTTCCATAAATTCCTTCAAATGAATGATCAGAATTTAGTGGCTCACTTCCCAACTTCTCCACATAAAGGGAGTGGGTGATTTGTGTTCCATTTTACCTCAGCTCACCTCAGACTTCACTTGGAAAGACTTACTTGTGAAGTCGATGAGCCAGTAACCACCTCAATGGAATAAAGAGTTCTACAAATCCCCATGTATTTTGTGGAAACAAATAAATTTCACTTTGTGTGTAGGGATTCATGCAAATTTAAGTGTTTATTTGCTCATATATGCAGTATATTTTCTCTATTTGTGCTGAATGTTGATAGTAAATTTTATTTTGAGAATTTTATTGAAGAGGTTGATTTAGCTTACAAGAGATGGTCATTGTTTTAATATCGCAGATTGAGGATACTCAACATTATCTAAAATTCTTGGGACCAGAAGTGTTTCAGTTTGGAGATTTTTTTTCAGATTTTGGAAATTTGAATATACACACAAGAGCTCTTGGGAATGTGATGCAAATTGAAATGTGAAAATCATTTATATTTAGTATACACTTTATAGACATAGCCTAAAGGTAATTTTATGTGATATGTCTATATTTTGACTTTAATCTGTCACATGCGATCTGGTGTACAATTTTCAACTTATGGTATATCATATTGGTGCTCAGAAAGGTTTGCATTTCATAGCATTTCAAATTTTGGAGTTTTGTTTTAGGGACTCTTAACCCATACATTAGAAAATTCTGTTCTCAAGAAGATGGGGCCTTCATGATCAATTTGATAGTCATTAGAATGCTAGGTAGGAAGTTATTTATTTCATTGCATTTGACTTACGTTTTTAAAACAGATTGTGCTTAATAACTATTAAAATATTAATAGTAAAAGAGTAGCTACAAAATTGAAAAGACCATACACGTTTTGAGTGTGCAACACTCACATGGAGTACCTTGTGGTCTCTACTGCATTTTGCCTGTTGTGTTTCTTCATTTGTGTTTTTTTTTAAAGTAGGGTTCATGTTGTAGCGTGCAATTTTTTTTCAGTGTAAAGAGAATCAATTGGAAAATGATTATGAACAAAATCTTTTCTTATTTTTTGTTTTATCATTTTTACATTTATTCACCTGTGAATAAAATCTTAACAAAGGAAATTTATAATAACTTGTATGCTAACAATAATAAATCTTATATGAACTAAGATTGAAATGTGTTTCAAAACCCTTGAATCCAAAGTTATATATTTCTAGCCCTGTCTGTCATATAAAAACTTTGTTTTCATAAATCATATACTTTTGCATTTTGGTCAGCCCTTCAAATTATTTTTGAGGCCATAGAAACTAAATCAATTAATGGTTCTCTAAAACAAACCTTTAAAACATAGAGTATGATGCTTGCTCAGTACTTAACATTCTGAAAGATAGCATAGTCTACAATTGTTTGGTGCTATCTACAAAGTGTGTTCAGTGTTTCCTGGTTTAGGCTTCACCCACCACACCCTTGGTCATGGCCCATAGAGCTGTTCATTGGGCCAGACCCCAAAGCTGCTAGAGGTGGAAGTGGCATGCTTTTGCTCTGCAGCAGGCAGAATTAGTGTCTTCCCATGATCAGAGCTGCTCCCACAATTAAGACACAAACAGAGATTGTGCTTGATTATCTTTCTAGGTGTAAGAATATCTTGAAGATCAAATGTGTAATCCCACTGCACATCGTATGGATGGACAAAGTGGAGGAAGGCGATTCTGAAGCCAAGAAGTCCTTTCTCTTGGGGTGGCCGATGGAGAACTTCAGGGCCACCTTCCCGTAAGACCCACAACTAGGCCTTGTATTTATATGGGCTACCTATGACAGAGCACAGTTACCTTTTATGTTCTATTCCAGATCAAAAATGCCATTAAAAATTTCCTACAACTTATTCAAAATAGGAAAATATTTAAGTCTGACTGCATATTAAGCTGTAGATTCATTTTTTTGGACCTCCCATAAGATTGTTCATTTGCCTTGTATTTTCTCCTAAGAGATTTTTACATGCAAATATGTGCAAATGAGTCAATAGTCAAATAGGCTTTAACCAGTGGTTGTTCAGCAGGACTCTAGAAGTTACGTGGGGTGGGTGGGTGTTAGGGACTGTGAGAGGCAAACCAGCGAACAAGGGACTAGGCCTTTTCTCCACCATTCTCTCTCTCTCTAATGATCAGGTATTATCTGTGTTTTAAAACTATATGAATAGATCTTTTTTCAGCAAGTGTCATTGCATAGTCCAATTAAGTTTGAAATTTTCCTTTTGTTCTCTCAATTTAATTCTTTACAGAAATACAGTATTTAATTATACAAATAAAAAATTTTGTCATCAAAATTCAGATGCCTGAATTGCCATGTGACAGATTTTCATATTTGTTGTCTGTAGACAATATGTATCACTCATGGTGTCTTTAGACAATCTGAAATAGAGATTTATTCATGCAGTACAGATTAGTTTTCCAACACATTCATAGGTGGCATGAAGATGGGAATGTGGCTATATACCTAGCCATCTTGAGCTCATACACTTGATTTCACAGATATTGTGTAACACAAACCTGATGCCACATTTCATATATATTTTACTCATAGAGGGTTCATCACATGTACTCAGCATTCTTCTTTACTCTCTTCACCACTCTGTGCCAAAACATGATGCACCATCTCAAAGTTGAAACAACTAATTAAAATTTTAGCAAGTTTTATAAATTTAGTAAATTCTTTGATGCAGCTTTTGACTCAAGGAAAATTTCCAAAGATTATTGGGAAGATTATGTTTGTATCAATGTCTTCTCTTCCATGACAGATTTATCTAAACATTATCACTTCTTATTGCTTAATATTCTCTCCATGTGGCAGGTTAGAGGAAGGAGTTTAAATTGAGAATATACGAAGCCTTTGCTGAGATAGTTTAAAAAAACCTTTTATATTTTTGATGAGTAGATGACATGTCAAAATTAGATTTACATTGTTATAATACAAAAATGCTCAGCATCTATTGCTTTTCTGTTTGCTGTTGTTACAATTCTTTAAACTGGCATAATTAGAAGTGATATCCCTGTACATATGCAGATTAGAGGCCATCTTGGTGATCAACACTCCTGATGAAACCCATCCCAACAGCACAGAGCTGGAAAGTGGACTTGCTGCTCCTGATAGAAATACAAAATGTGGCAGTTCTGGGGAAAAAAGTCTGATGTTTCCATAATAATTTCAAGATAGGATTGCTCAATGACTCAGCAATTCAATCCTGAATGTAGATTCATGAAAAATGCAAACATACATCCACACTAAACTTTGTGCATCAATGTTCACAGCAACATTGCTTGTAATAGCCAACATAGAAACAAACCAAATGTTTAACAATGTGGTGTTGGATAGGAACAAGGGAGAATGGGAATAATGATCAATAGGTTAGGTAAAGGGCTTGCTTTTGGTAAAAAGATATTGATGGTAGATAAACAATATTGAGAGTACTAGAAGTCACTCATGGTCAGTTTCATGTTATATATAATATGCCAGATTTTTAAGAAAAATAGCTAACAAGTGATCAATCCATATATGAATGATTCTCAAAATATTTTTATTTACATATTTAATACAAGTGTGGAATAGCAAAGGGGATACTAAATCATTAGCAATTTAGGCACAAGTGAATTGATCTTGGTCAGAGGGTCACACTAATGAATGTTTTCTAGAAAGTAACTTTCATTTTACAACTCTGAAATTTTCATAAAGAAATAAAACATTGTAGGTTTCTTTCCTCTAAAAAGATATTCTTGTTCCTTGTGCAAGAGTAGTTCATTCAAAGAACAAATTTCTCAAGTAATATTAAATCTGAACAGTAGTTTTTATATTTGAATAGTACTTAAAGCTCCCCAAGGTTTAATTACCCTAATTATCAGTTGTAGTAACTGAATCTTAGACTTGGCTGTGACACAAAGCTTGTAGTAGGGTATGGCTGAAATCCAGTGTTTAAATTCCAAATCAACATCTCTTCCCCTCTGAAATGCACTTATCACTGGAAGATCACCTGTAAAGAGCAGGGTCCCTCAAACTCAGTTATTAGTGGGATACTACTTCCACCTGTACCCACAGCGGTAACAGTGGGCGCTAATATTTTCATTTGGAATGATGATCTTAACATCTTAGCATGAATATGTTGTGCTTAATTTTTCTTACTTTTTATATTACAGATCTTTGGAGCAAAAAGAAAAGTGGTGTTCATTCCTTGAAAGGTATTTTGCCAGTGTACATATTTTAATACTTTAATTTGTGATAAAAGAAGGAAAGTCCCTGAAAGCCGACACCCTTAAACTATTCCACTTTTTAGTCACAGAAATTATCAGACTATCCTCAAATAAAATCTTATTTGCATTTACCCTGGATGCTACTATAAACAGTGTTCTCTAATTGATAAGTACGCTTTGTTTATATTTGAGGAAGTTTTGGTTGAAACTCTTACCTTTTCTGTTCTTCAACCTGTAGATTAGAGCTAATATTCTTGAAACATATATTAAATTCTCATAAACACAGGTTTCTTACTCTGTTGAGTCAATTCAAAGAAACTACTGCGTCCTACCTAATCTTGAGTCCAGGAAGGTGTTGAACCCTGTCATGCAGGCAAGAGTGCTTAGAGGACTAGATCTGCTTCCCAAATCTTACATCCCAGGGCAACCTGGTATCCTCAGGGCCACAAATCATTTTCCTGAAATATTTTTGTCTATTTTCAAACATATAATTGATCTTGCTGAATCTTTTTGTATGTTCTTAAATATAACATAATAAAGATGGGTAATTTTAACAACATAGGTTTTGAAAATATGGTACTAGCTAATTCATTTTACAATTTGTGGTTATTATTGAATCATTAGAAACATCAATCTAACAAAAGAGAAGGACAATCAGAAGACCCTTGAGCTCCCGATCTTCATCAAAGACATACAGCATTCTGTAAGTGTTTTTAAGACCAAAAAGAAAATTTCAATTTCCTGACTTACAGTATGTTTGAGGGGAGGAGAGAGAGAGAGAGAGAGAGAGAGAGAGAGAGAGAGAGATTTATAAAGTATTGGAGGAAAAAGAGAGAATTTATAAAGTATCACATGGAACTTAATATTTCAAAAAAGGAAACAAGTGGGGGATGTAGGAAAGCAGGTTAAGAAATAGTAATAGAGGTGAATTTGATCAAAGTACATTATGTGCACGTATATAAACATTACAATGAAATAAACAATACAATGTGTTTTATATGTTTCTTATAACACACACATAACATACCTGCCTACATGAAAAAAATGTATATTATACACACACACATAAAAAGTATTTTATTTTAAAATACTTTTGTGTCTTTCAAAATCATCAACGTGCATTGAAGTAAAAGTGTGACTAGTAACATATAGTCCTTATATTCACTTATTTGATAATACTTTGCCTTATTCGTTTCCTTAAAAAACATTTATGCACACTTATTTTTGAAGGTCAGTTACATTTACCATGCCTCTATCCTTAAATACTTATGTATTTTCTAAGAATGAGGATATTCTTCTAGGTAACTACTATTCAGCAACTTCAGTAAATTTAATATCATTATATACATACATATGTATGATAAAATATATTTTATATTATACATATATGATATAGTGTGTGTCTGTATATACAGTGCTGATGTTTGAGTTCAGGGTCTCACATATGCTAGGGAAGTGCTTTATGACTGAGATAAAACTTAGCCAATATAAAATTTTATCTAATATTCATTTTCTAATTTTCTCAGTTCACACCAATAGTGTTCCCTTTCTAATACCGGATTCTTTAGGGACAGACATTGCACTTAGCAATTAATTAAAATACAGAGTTTTGATACATCTTTCATTCCTAAGAAAATCAGGAATCAATTGAGCTAGCTATGAGAGATGATACTTTTAAGGAATCAGCATATGTCTACTTCATGTGTTTTACTGCTATTGAGAAAAAAAACCCCATATCTTCAATACTATGTGACATTTGATTTCTGAAATTGTAGTACAGTAGCCAGGATGTTCATAATGATGAATAAAATAGGTATTTTTATGTCTCTTGTTTCTATATAGTGGTTCTAGTGGAGTCAGGGGTTTTTGTTTGTTTGTTTTTGTCACATTGAGGTTCTGAACTCAGGGCCTGATGCTTGCTAGATGGGCACTCTTACCACTTGGGCCACTCTGCTGCCCTGAATAGTGGTTCTAAATTATACAAAATAGTAATTGAAAGAGGAAAAGCATAGTGCAAACACATTCTTTCTTGGCCAATAGCATAGTCACAAGATTGTTCTGACCTGTTTCCATGTACCAGATGCATTGCAGGAGAAAGAAAAGGCTAGACAGTTGTCATAAGGAAGCACTGACATGTCTCTGCTGGCTTGATTTCAATGGTGGCAAGTGGTTATATTTACAATTTGTCATGGAATACATCTTGACTTCTTTTTATTTATTTTTTTTAATTTTATGATTTTTACTTTAATCATACATTGTTTGGGCCACCTCCTCCCTCCACCCCTGCCTCTCCATGCCCTGTGCCCAGCTAGAACCTGTTCCTCCCTCTTGTTTCTGATTTTGTTGAAGAGTAACCTTAGAGATAATAAGAAAGACATAGCATTTTTGCTACTTTGAGAAAAAGGTAGGTATACAGAGAGATTCCTAGTGATGCTTTCATGTACATGTGTATTGCAACCCACATTGGTTCTTCTCTACCAGATCTCTTTGCTACTTCCTAGTCCCCTTCCCATAGTGGCCTCTGCCAGTTTAAGATTACTATATTCACTCCTCTACAGTCAACCACATTTAAGGTTTAGGTTCCTTTCCTTTCCCTATTCCTCCTTTGCGTGTTCTCCCCTTTAGTGTGGGACCCATGCCCAATAATATTACTGCATTTGTTTTAGGTATATAATCCACATATAAGGGAGAACATGCAATATTTGGCCCTCTGAGCATGGCTAACTTTGCTTAAGATGATGTTCTCCAGTTCCTTCCATTTACTTGTGAATAACAAAATTTCATTCTTCTTTGTGGCTGAATAAAATTCCATGGTATATAAGTACCACATTTTCTTAATGCATTTGTCTTGATATTTAAAAAAATCTACTTTATTTATGTCTAATTTATAAAAAATAAACATTTTGAATGCATGTTTTTGTGTCTCATAAGTTGACCGTCTATATCATCTTAAGCTTGGTCTCAGCTCTTAATATATTATATATATTATAAAATATATATATATATTTGTATTTGCAAGTAATATTCAACTTATATGGAAAAATAGTTATATTTCCATTTGGAAACATGGAATAAATATTTTTAAATTTTGATAAATATTTTTAAAACTTTATTTGTTGCTGGGTGCTACTGGCAAATATCTGTAATCCTTGGTGCTTGGGAGGCTGAGATCAGAAGGACTGCAGTTGAGGCCATCCCAGGCAAAAGTTAATGAGACATTAACTCAAATAATAGCTGGGCATAGTGGCAACATGTCTGTTACCTGGGAGGCTTAGATAGGGAAGATTGTGGTTCCCAGCCCATCTACGGAAAATTAAGTTTTCAAGATCTCATTTCAACAGAAAAATGGTGGGCATGGTGGCACATGCCTTCTATCCCAACAAGGGAAGAAAGCACAAGAAGGGAGTATTATGATGCACTTAGTCCTGGGCAGACATTGAAAACCTATTTCTGATGTAACCAGAGCAAAAAGGACTGGAGGCATGGTTCATGTGGTATAGAGTGCCTGTCTAGCAAATGTGAAGCCCTGAGTCCATATCTCAATATCAAAAAAAAAAACCCTACTTTTTTTTTACAAAGAGCTCTATCTACACAAATTTACCTGTTTATCTACAAGAACACCATCTAGAATGAATACATATGTTATTGTAATTATTATTTTGATCTTACCTGGTTCCACATATCATGAGAACCTATTATCTTCTAAACCACATAAATTAGAATGATGAGAATTTCAAAGGGTTTCTTTGTAAAAGACAGTGGAATTTTAACATGTAAGGAGGGGCTTTCTGACATCTTAAAAACTGCAGAACCTTTACTTCTAACTAAATATCAAGCTATAGCCCAAGTGTTTGTACCCTCCAGATATTTTAGCATAAGAGGCTCTGACTTCCTTGAATTTGGATGATCTGAGCCCTACTTTTGGGTATTGTGAGAAATTTCATAATTGTTAGGCAATAAGAGGCACAATGAGAAGTGAATGAATTTAAGATGGTTTGTTCATAAAAATCCATTGTCCTTTGGCCAGGCTTGTTTGATATCCTGTAATCCTAGATACTTAGAAGCCAGAGATTGGAAGAAATGTGGTTCAAGATCAGCCTGGGTAAAACAAGTTTTAATAAGACCCCAATGCCTAGCTAACCCTCAGTGATAGAAACACTTGACCATATGTGCTAGGCTGTGGGTGATCCTCAGCAACACAGATACACACACACACACATACACAATTAACAACTTTGGGTCCAGTTGTCCCATGAACCATTTAGTCCATAATAAAGTAAAATACAATGAGTCATAAAAGGGTTTCCTTAACTTGATTTTTTTTAGTATCATTTTAAGGCCTGTGGGTGCCCACCTATGCTGTTTGTCTTGTTAGCCATTCTCCTTATGTAGCTCAGGTTGGCCTCAAACTCACAACCCTCCTGCCTGAGTCTTTGGAGTACTGGAATTACAGGAGCCTGACACCATGCACAGCAGCTTTTGTCTTCTTTAAGCAGTGCTTATCAGATGACACAGACCTGATTGTGGATTTATGTTATATTGCAAAATCTACATGCATAGTAATTTTCTTATTTTATGCTAACATATTTTGAAATTCAGATGGTTCAATGGCATCAATTCAGAATCCCTTCAATTTTTTTCAGGCTTTCTACAAATTGTCTTCCTATTTTTCCAGAACACATCTTAATGTGTGATGTAGTAGAAATGACTTTATTCATTGGCAGATGGGAATGGAGCTAAAACCATGAAAGTTTTCATTCTTGATTGTTAGATTTATTATTTCAATAGATATCAACAATGAAAATCTAGCTAACCCTGAAGGGAAAGTGCTCTCTACATAGTGTTTTTGAAGAAGTCTTTTATAGCCAATTTTTATTCTGATTTTAGTAGAACTAAATATACGACAAGTAAAGGAATAAAGCCAAAGTATCACAACCCACTTGGCTAGAAAACGAAAGGCTTCAGCTCCTCCTTTACTTTTTAATCATTTTATTATTGTTGTACTGGGAGTACATTGTGATGTTTACCACAGTTCTTACAATGCATCATAATTGAATTCACCCTCTGCATTATTCTCCTTTATCCCTCATCCCCCCTATTACTGCAGCAGTTTCAGAAGGTCCATTTTTCCACTTTCATATATGAATACATAATATTTTGCCCATATTCACCCTTCTAACTTTTCCCTACATCCTTTTCACTCTCAATGATGCCAGCACCCAGAAACAAGACATGTTTTACCTTCCTGTTCTCCATGTTTGAAAAAAAGCATTTTTGTATGTCTCTATGTAAGAGAGTTTCAATGTGACATTTCCACATATATATATTTTATATCCCAAATTGTTCTCTCTTCTGTTTTTCTCCTTTCTATCTTAGTCCCCTTCAACATGTTTGAAAATTCTATATTCATTCTTGTATCAAGAGTACATCAACCATATTCACCTTCTTGACTTCCTTCTTTTTCGTCCATCTCCCATTAGTGGCCTCTGCTTAGTGTGTCCTGTTTTTCATAATATGAGCTTCTTCTTTTGAAACTACTCTCCTCCTTTATTGAAACAACCTCACAGTGCTCAGAATCAGTCCCCAAACCCTCTCTGAGTACTGAATTTTTCTCAGTTAAGCTGCTATATTTGAAGTGCTACAAATCCTTTATTTGCAGAGAAAGGTGTTATACTGAAATGCTTTCTACTGACTTCATGTTATATAAAGGAATGAAAAATATCTAAAGTCAAGGTTTTGTGCTCTACATGTGCTTTATTTTTGTCCTCACCTGAAAACAAGTTTTGTTTAATATGGATAATAAGTTGACAATAACTACAGAATTGTGTGCTTTGGAATTCTTAATTTATAGCATTTTTTTTCATTTTTTATAGCCTGTTGCTGTCACTGCAACAAGTTTTGATACAGTAAATGATATTATTAAGAAGACACTGTCGATTATAGGAATAACTGTAAGTTGCTTGTAAGCTATTTTTAAATTAAAAGATAACTTCTATTTTTGAGAATCATATATCTATCCAAATATATGTTTTTGTATGTGTATATATATATATAATCATATGATAATTGGTTATTATAGATATCAAAGTCATAGTTTGTCCCCCACACACACTTTTAGGAACTGAAGGCAGCTAGCTATAAGAGTGTGCACAACTTTCATTCTATTTTACTTTTGTCTGTTGTTTTATGTTTTGATAGTGCTCACATATGTAGTTAAATATATTTTGGTAAAAGAGGTGCACATATTTGAGAAGAAGGCACAAAAAAGGAAGAGGTAAGTGTGTGTAACTCAGTTTTAATAAATTTAATGACCTCTGGATCAAGGAACCATGGTATAGCATGGCTCCTTATATAGAATTATTTCCTTGTGAAAATTCTGAATATTGTGACATGATCTCTATGATTTATATGTAAATCTGACTGTGTAGCATAATAAAGTCCCATAAAAACTCAGAGCAACCACCGTTTGGTATAATAGTCATTTTATAGAAGTATCATTTAATAATAAATTGAAAAGAGAGCTGAACTCATATGTTCTAAGTAAAGCAGTTACTGCTGCCTTGATTTCTAAACTGTAGGATGTATGTGCTCTGTATAAGAATTAAATCTTGGAAGAGAGTGAGTACTTTTAGGGGCCACATGGGGATAGTGACTTAGAATACAGTTCACTTAATTCATATTTGTGAATTACCTTTGCTTAACGTGAACAGCTCACCACAAAGAAAAAGTTTCTATTGTAATAAAGAATTGAGGTTATTTGGTTATATAAGTATGCCTGATTTAAACAACTTCAACAAAGCATTTCCAAACCCTGCCTTATAAGAAAATATTTGTTATTAGATCTTACTTCCTATATGCCATGTAATATTGTGCTGATGTACCACACACCCGTGTGAGTGTGTGCATGCACACATGTGTTTGTGTGTACCTATTACAATAACTACATTTGAAACATATTTCTGATTTAGCCCTTCTTTTAGGACTCTAAATAATTCATCAGAATCTTGGTAATTTAGATTTGTTTAAGTGAGGTTTCCTTAATGTTGGCCAGTAATTCTGCTGGGGATAACCTTTCCACACCTGACCTATTTTCCAGGTAGAGTCCTTGTAGAGATTCTCTTCTCAGAACAAGGCTTCCCTGACTGAAAGTAACAACTGGCTTTCCCCTGACATCTCCTCAAGGCCTTTTGGACCTCTGTCTCTTTTGCTCAGTGTTATTGACCTTATAGTACATTCTAAATTTTACTTTTCTTAGGCCCATTTTAGCACATGTGTGGCTTTGAGCAACAAGTTTGTCTAAAGAGGGACATGTGTAACAGAAGTCAACATTCTCCATGACTATTGGAGATAGCAGAAGGCAGAACTCTGGGGATTAGACTTTTCTTCTGTAGTGGAGGATATTGAGTATGGTTTCTCATTACTTGGTTCACTCAGAAAGTGATGGCTGGATTGCATTATGATCCGTAGTCTTTCAGAAGCCACAACGCAAGAATTTGGAGTAATCTGGAGGTTTGGAAGTATCCAGGAGTTATTGAAATCAGCACTGTTGATGCAAAACTGTGGCCTCCTATGAATATAATAGCATTTGTAGTGATACAAATTCCTTTCCTTCTTAGAAACACAGAAATGCTATGGAAATAATTTCTTCAACAATCCATTTTCAATAATCTTTCATGATGCTTTGTTCTTTTTGTCTCCTAGGAATGTGAAAATGAATACCTGCTATCTTTCAACTCTGGGAAGGAAGAAGCCCCATTCACACTCTTGGGTAAATGTCAGGGACAATCTAAAATGTGATTGATTGGGCTCAAAGTTATACTTCTCTCAAAGTATTGACTGTTGTCTTAAGCTTGAATGCCTCTAAATGTAAAAATGGCCCAAGTATTCACTTGTACATTTAAGAAATAATTGCCAGCACTAACTCTATGACAGGTGTTTGGAAACATCTCTTTAGACTTGACAATTTCTGGTACAGTTGAGGAGAAAAAAAGTGAAGTTTTCTTCTAATTTTTCACATGAAGACATAGCTTTCTTTTAAAAAAAAACAAGAACTGGATTATTTTTGTCAGGAAGTATAAAAAATATTAGAAATTAATTTTCCCATTTATTGTTCCTACTTCAGTAAAAATCCACTATTCATTTTCTAAAGAATAGGTCACCTCCATTTTGTAACAATCTTCTATAATTCAGTCATGGCTGTGAAACCATATATAAATATTTCATTAACACAAGCTCTATACATAGAACTTTTCACAAAAAAGGAGATAAGCAAACTCCTAAATTGTTCCCAACCTGTATTTTGTTATTTTTTGGTTGCATTTTCCTCTCTATTTAAAGTTACTGATAGATGATTCATCTTTAAGATAGTTATTAAAAGAATTTAGCTGGAAGAAAAACTCACGGCTCATCATGTGAAGATGAAGAAACAAATCCATTCCAATACACAGGAAGGACCAGGACATATTGCCTATGCTGTAATTGAGAGAGGGAATAATTTCTGCTAGAAGTCATGGGCATGTTTCTTTTTAATAACTTGATATTATTTAGTAATATTTATCAGCAATAAGTGAAATAACATGGGGAAGGCAATACTGGAAATATATTTTAATGAAATGTATTAGTTTGATAAAGTATCTAAATGATAACTAAACCTCAGAACTCCTTTGAATACAGCTTTCTCTCAGGAGCACTATTCTTGAGGACCTCTCCTCAGCCTTTCTGAATCCTTTTTTCTGAATGTACTCTCAGTTCTCGAGTGTGGATCAACTTCTGATTATCCTGAGCCTTAGTTTTATTACACTGATGCCAGTAGAGCTTGTTTTACCCTAAAAGTTGAAAGTTGCTGTAATTCTTGTTCTGAATGTAGCACTAACAATGTATCTATACCAGATGGAAAGGAACAGCAAGAGTTCACCAAGTTACATCAGTGCAAAATCAGAAATGGATGCAAAGGGGCTTTTATACTCATCCTAGACAATGTCATTCACTTCACAGCACAGCATCTTTGATAATTCTTTGTAAAGAAAGTAAGTTAAACCATGAAAGAGCAAAGCAAGTCACTTGCCATGTAGCTCCTGATGACTGTGGGTGTTGTTTTTGCACCTTGTTTCTATTTTCCAATATGCTGCAGTCTTCCTTCTGCTCACTGTCTGTGAGGAAACACTGGCAGGACAGCAGTGTAAGGGAAGCATGAAGAACACCAGTCCAATGCTCATGAGTAGCCCTGATGTGCGAACTGACAAAGGGAAACATCTCTTTTGGTAAAAGTGACATTTCATATGAGAAAATACTAATGTTACCAACTCTTGACATCTACTGTAATTATTAAGGAATATTAAAAACTAGTGTCCATCAATGTATTTTCTTCCATCTCTGCAGTAGGAAGGACACATTTTTAAAATGATGAATGTAAGGTTAGAGGATTCAAGTAATTTTCCTAAGACTTAAAAATTTGGTTGATGTCAAGGCAGAAACTAGAAGGCCTTAAATAGTCTCAGATGGTAACATAGTGAAAGTCACCACTGAACATTTCACTGATGGATCTATGCATTCCAAACAAGGTAACATATTTAAGGTTTTTATCTCTTTATTACTTAACTTCTTTTGCTTGGGCACCTGTTTTCTGGATGGTCTCCTTAGTGAGTGTGCATAATGCACACTCAGGAGACATAGCATTATTAATTCCACAGGATCCAAGAGAACCATGTCCATACCAGTGAATTCAGCAAAAGGTAAGTTTGATTACACCCACCATCATCAGCCTGAATCTATATTTCTATTTTTCTCCATATAGGACACGAATGTCCGTATGCCATCAAAATGAACTACCTTGGAGAGAAGGCATTCATGCCACAGAGACCAAGTAAATTAACTTCTCAGACCTTTCAGGAGCCCATCCAGGAACAGGTGTCCCCAGACCTCAAAGGCCAGTTTTTCCTAGGGCCAAGGCATCCAAACAAAGGCAAGCATGAGAGTAATGAATACCTTCCCTTCCTGGAAGTGCCATCTCACAGTTCACACCTCCATTCCTGATGAAAATAAAACTCTTGATTCATAGGTATTTTCCATATCCTAAGGAGGTAGTATATGCAAGTACCCAATACTCATTCAGAATCGGGCTTAGATTGCCTCTGAGAATTGAAGTTAAGACACAAGTCCCTATTAGGAGAATTTGTTTTTCATTCATCCACAGAGAAAATTGCTCTCTTATTTGTATCCCAAGAGCACTTTAGAAAAGTAGTTATGTAAGTCTACATCTGTGTGTCTTATTAGAAGATGCTCTCTTGAGGCCTGGACTCTCATATCGTCCCCATTTCTGGTTGCAGTCATCATCCGGGGCCAGAATAGTCATGACAACATGACCTAGACACACTTGAAATCTTGAGTAAAGAGATATGGTTTTAAATGGAATCTCTTCTTGGTCTGAAGGGTCTTTGTGATTCTAACCTGTATTCAGTTCTAAATCTACCCCAAGGCCAGCTTACTTTCTACATTTGCTTCAGACATACATCTAGAATTGGACTGAAGTTCTCAATGGAGAACTTTTGATTCATCCTTCTTGCCACTTTCTCCCTGAGATATTCCAGTGCTTTTGCACTGATATTTCTCTCTTTTATACAACTGTGTTATTAATTTAGGATATATTTAGCCTAGTACAGAGCTTTCCCTTATTTTATTGTTGTCACTTTTCTTGTATAAGCACACAGTTTATGATTTTTACATTTTTTTCATACCCTGAATCAAGCATGAGGAATCCATTAACCTAATTTGCTCTAGACTGTTGAAGACAGGCTGAGTTTCTCTGCAGTTAGGTTGTTTTATCAGCCCAATTTTATAGCAATCACATGCCCTTTCATTCATTACAGAAACAATAAGAATTCTCCAATCAATAATATGCATCACAAAAGACTTATCTAAGTGAAAATATTGAGCAACTATTGGACTTGGAGTTTACTCTGCTGTCAAGTCTTTCCTCATACTATAACTGCATATTATATCTTTGTTTCAAGGGACAGGGTGTTAGTAATATTATTTTTCATATGAAGAATAAGAGAATACATTTGGGTTATTTTAGAAATAATAGCATTGGAGACACCAGGTAGAGTATAACAATTCAACCTGTGTATTTACATTTATAGTCATCAAATTTTGTATATGTTAACATACACAAATATGCTCCAGGATTTTAGAATGTATGTGCTTTTTTCTTTCCTAACTTTTGAATTGGAGGGGATAAGTATAACAGGTAGAGAGGTGGCAGTGTTTGTGCCTGCATGCCATCTGGAGGCTCCTATCTGAAAAGAAGAATAGGGTAGAGCTTGCTTTGCAGGAAGAACACTGCAGTCTCAGCTGCCTTAAACCATCTGAGTTAGGGGTAAACTTAATTTTATCAAGAATACTGTGAACCATGCCTTGTTCTAGGCATTAGTCCAATGAGGTATATTGATAATATCCTTCAGGTTAAACTGAGGATTTGAATCAAAAAGAGTCTTGATAATTTGTCCAGGTAAGTGGCAGAAACAGAAACCCACACTAGCATCACTGATCCAGCCCCACAAGCATTGTCCCCATGTTTTTATACATAGCAAATCCCAGAAAAGCCAAGAGAGCAGCTATTTTTTTTTCATTTATTCATATGTGGATAAAATGTTTGGGTCATTTCTCCCCCCTACCCCTGCCCTCTCCCTTTTCTCCCACCCCCTTCCCTCTTCCCCCCACACCCTTGTTTCCAGGCAGAAACTGTTCTGCTCTTTTCTCTAATTTTGTTGAAGAGAGACTATGAACAATAATAAGGACAAAGCATTTTTGCTAGTTGAGATGAGGATAGCTATACAGGGAGATTCCTAGAATTGCTTCCATGTACGTATGTGTTACATTCTAAGTTGATTCTTCTCAAACTGACCTTTTCTCTAGTTCCTGATCCCCTTTTCCTACTGACTTCTGTCACTTTAAGGTTTCTGCATTAGTTCCTTTGTATTGAGGATATCAAATACTATCATGTGTTTTGGGTTTCTTACCTATCCTCATACTTCCCATGTATGCTCTCGCCTTATCATGTGACCAAAGTCCAGTCACCTTACTGTATTTGCCCTTGATCTAAAGTCCGCATATGAGGGAGAACATGTGATTATTGGTCTTCTGAGCCTGGGTAACCTTGAGAGAGCAGCTATTTAAACATATTTGGTCAAACGTCAATCATCTTGCAAATCTTGGCCTATCTGTTATCTTTTAAATATTTGGTATATGTTACTTATTTATTAAAATATGAAGGTACCATGTTTGGAAAATTTTATAGTTAAGCAGTAGAAACATTGGACTGAGGTTTGAAGACATACTTTATGGTGAAGTAGCCAGAGACTTACTAAGAATTGACTCAAGCAGGCTTTGTCATTAAGGGCAGATGCTCTTTTGATGGGGTACAGTTGACCTTGGTTACATGTTTTGAAAGTAGATTATGAGACTGCTGAAATTCAATACTAAATAGTTTTAGCTTTCAAAATGGGATATGACATGTTTACTCAGCTATCATACTTAACTTCCAGGAATCTTTTCCAACAAGGTGTGAATGGTCTGATGATTCAATGTTGCAGGACAGAGACAAACTCTCTACAATGCAGTCACATGGGAAAAACTAAACTAAATTAATTAACCACCAATTAATTGGTTTTGACAAAGAATATAATTACAAGGCAATTAACAAGTTTCAGAATGTAGGACATTTACAGTATAAATGACTTAGTTCCTCTAGTATGCAATGCACCTAGCATATTATAAAATGAAAATGGTGGGAACAAGGTGAAATGAATG